ACCAGTGATGAGGAATGCCAGAATAAATCAACCCCCAGTGTTTTATCAGTATCATTTTACCAGCTCCGCACAGGTCTGCACCACCTGGTGATTAAAACATCCAGCGGACAGTCTACAGTAGTGGTTGAACCATGAACACTGTTCTTAGCAAGGCAGTGGCAGGAAAATTCCTAAAGACCGGCACTACAGACATGGCATTGGTGCTGGCAGCACCAAACCCATTTCCTGAATCATGAAAGAGCAGTTTATTTTGCAAAGCCATAAAGGGATTCTGAACATGCAGTTTGGGAAAAATAAATAAAATAAACGGTTCATTCTCATCCAAAACCGGATGACTGAACTGTTTTTAACAATTGGAGAGAGGCATGGATTCTTATGGGTGATATCTTTTAGTGGAGCAGCTGTATGATTGGGATAGACATGGACAAGCTTTTGTGCATCACAGTATCCTTCCTTAGATCTGTGGAGAGATACAGACAGACCTGAAGAAAAATACTGTAATACCCAAAAGCTTGTCTATGCCCAATAACAGATATCACTCACAAAAAGTCTTGCCTCTTGCATATTTCCTGGACTATCACAGCAACATCACTTCAACACTACCTTTAACAATTTGGGACACTTCTGTGTCCTAATTGAGACTCACAGGTCAATAGATTTTTGTAGCATAGATAGGACTATGCATTAACTGTGGTATATTTGGGAGTGTAATGCTGGAGATACCCACCCCTGTTTCCATTCATATTTAAGCTTGTCAGTGCCAGTACTAGCTGTGACAAGTCTTTACATAGGATTCTAAGGATGGCTGGGATTCTTATTACTGCATATCAACACAAATACATTTTCACAGCAGACTGTTCCAGCTGAGAGCACAGTTAGTTCTTTGCCTCGCAAGTGAGGCAGCAAGCACAGCAAGGCCCATCCCTTGACTTGATGGATTGTAATTTGTATTTCTTTTTTTGTTTAAAAGCACAAACAGATCAAGCTCAAGCTGAGGAAATGTCATCAGCTAGAAAGAGACTCTAGCTATAGAAAGAGCATATGACTCTTCTGTCCACTACTGAAAAACAATAATAGATCCTTCACATCTGCTGCCTGCTAAATGAATGCCATTACCCATATGTTTATTGCAATATAAAATATATATTGTAAGTAACAATAGCTCTTAATATTTTATAGGCACAAATATTAGATAATTAATCACTAGAACATGGAAAAACTAAATAAATTATGTAGGGATCCCCACAGGACCTTGCTATAGTCCCTGAATTGGGGTAAAACGGTAGGTTCTCTACCATTTTAGGTACCTGGTAACCCCATTATTCAGGGCTCTTACTAATTACTTGTTGAAGTCTTAAAGGATTTTTTTTCTCTTTAAGAATACCACTGCTTTCTGGGGTAGGAAACAGGGTTCACTTTCTTCTGAAGCACTAAAACACAGCCACAGCTAAGAAAGAGGATTTTTATTGGAACTCTGCTGAAGTTATTGCTGGTACTTAGAAAACTTAGAAGTTTCTGAAGTTCCTTGGACTTGCACTTAGGGCCATAGCAATCAGCAGATTTGAAGTCAGGAAGGAATTTTTCCACTAGGTCAGTGCCTCATGGACTGCAGAGATTTTGTCTTTCTCAGTAATGTGGTGCATGATCCTCTTCCTCAGATCTTCTCAGCATATATTAACCAATAACTTCCCTGACATTTCAGTAGCAGGGCAGCATCAGTGCCCTCATCTCATCTGCTTTGCACGTGATGAGTTGTTCTTGATGTTTCAGGTATCGTACATTGTATTTATGTGTAAAGGTTGAAGCAATGAGTTTGGTAATTCCTTCAGTAAATAGTTGCCTAGACATGCAGGGGGACAGGCCTCAAAGGTCCAAGATGCCCCTTCCACTCCTATGTTCCTTGGAAGCTACAAACATTATTTTAATTTTTATTATATTAATTTATTATATTAATTATTTTATTATTGATGAAGTGGCTTTAAAATGCAAGACAAAGTTTAAGCTTTTTGATTGTTAGGCAACAACAACATACATATGTTAACATCCCAACTAGATGCCTATGTTAATGGCCTTTTCACTTCTCCAAGTAAAAACTCTAGTTTCTCCATATAAGATTTATTTCCAAACAGCAATGGAGCTCCGTAAACCCTACATCTCAAGACGATTGCTTCAGTTCATCAAACGATGAGTCCACATTGGTTCCATGCTGCACCCTGGAGTGCCCATGAAACACATGCCACCCACTCAGTCCAACCCCTCTGGATCAACACCAGATAATGAGGCAATGTAGCTGCCTTAGAGCAATGTCAAACACCGGACATGCTGATTGGCGTATGTTCAAGGCTGCTCTGAGATGTGGTGTAGACTTGCCCAAAGGCACTCAACCTTGAGCCTTGGTCTGAAATAAGCTATGTACTCACGCAGCCCGTTGCTGATGTATTTACTGCTGGTTGAGAGGGGAGTAGGGGCATTTATGGTGTGGAATGAAATGCACTGGACAACTTGCAGGGAATTCCAAGACTGGAAGAGCAGGCACGGGTGTGGTACAGGTTCCAGCTGCATTACCAGAAGTCTATGTGCTTCAGGAGTGGAATTATAGGAGGTGCTGGAAGCCAGTGCTCAGATATACTAGGGATGGTGGGCAGGACCAGAAAAACAGAGGACAGAGTAGGTCAGAATTGAAATGCACTGGTAGAGTTTATGTAGGCCTTTCCTAAGACAAAAATAGATGCAGCTCAGGGATGAAATGTACTGCTAGTGCCTTGTGAGAAGTGTGTGCAGCACCTGTCCACAGGCTGCTATGATCTATGGGTCTGATGCATAACCCATCGGAGTTAACAGAAATTTGTTTGATTGACTTCAGTGGGATTTGTGTAAAGGAGCATACGCTCTCCATCCCTCACACTCCTCGCTGCTAAGAGTCATATAATTCACTTTGAAAAACTTACTGCAAGGTGATGCCAAGCTCCAGCATGGGATCCATGGCATAGTGGACTTGGCCAGGAGTTCAAACAATTCCTGCAGAGCTCAAGATGGAACACTCTGAAGTGGAAGCCAGTTTCCCCCAGTTCATTATATTTAATCTTTAGTTTCTCCCACACTGCAGATCAGGCAGGGATCAGGGAAAACATCAGCACGTCAGGCAAGAAAGACAGAGCAGAGCAGGGGAAGGGGATCAGAGTGGCACTCAGGGGAGAGGTCAGTGCTTATCTTGTGGCACGCCTGCCAAAAGGTTGACCACTGCTGCCCTAACGTCTCTGCCTGTCATCTGCTGAGTAGACTGCCAGGACTCTGATAACTTTTCTTAGGCAAGAATTACTGAAGGATTAGGTCCTTTTAACTGAAAAGGGGGAAGTTCTGCTACCTTCTGTGATGGGTGATGTGTTTCATGGCCTGACCCACCTTCTACTGGAATTCATGGGAGCTTGATTTCAGCAGGCATAGAAATAGGCCTGAACTAAAAATGCTTGTCCTTCACTTCCTCTCATTCTGACATTCCACCAGTAGGAACTTGTTTGAACTGTCAGGCTGGCATAAGCAGGAGACTTTGACCATATGGGACATTATTGTTTGTGTAGCAGTTAAAGCAGGAATATTGGTTTATGCTTGCATTGTTTCTCATTGTGCAAGAGGTGTTCAAACACACAGAAATTCACTCTTACTACCCTGCAAAATCTGAATAAGTTGTTTGCTTGCTTTGCCCCTAAAAGTACTCCACCCACTTTATTGCAAAGCAGAAGACAGATAAAGAAATATAAATGAGCAGGTTACACCTGGTCAATATCGCCACATCACTCAGCTCATAAAAAATAAATCCAGTAATCCACCCACTTGCTTTTTTAAAGTAATTAGGAATTGAACCACAGGTGGAGAACAGAAAAGGGAAACCTAAAAAAACCCAACAACAAAAAAACAAAACAAAAAAACTTTGCCCCACATTGTGTAATATTCTGGCAACAAGAGAGATTTACCATCCTTACCTGAAATTTTCCACCATTTCCTGTGCAAATGAAAGCCATACCAGAAAGGCCATTCTGAGTCAGCAGTCAAAGCCCTTTCTCTGCATATCAGTAACAAGCATCCCAGCTGGTGCCAGGCTGAAATGTTACCATCCTTGCAGCAAAAAGCTGCATTCACCAGTGGAAATTTCACTCTGGATCAAATTCATAAATACCTTTAAAACAATTCTCTGCTGAATATTGTCCGGGGGGGGGGGAACTGCTTTATAAAGCTGCCACCCCAACCAGACTATTCGTTCACTGAAAGAAGTAAGAGTGTTCATCAACAATATAAAGCTCAGTAAGGAAACTGCTGAAGAAATAGTCCAGGCCTCTCAATTTCCACTCTGGTGCCTCCAAGCAAAATATCATCCTTTCTCCCTGTATCCATGTTCTCTCATCAACTCCCTGTCTATCATGATTCCAACCAACACCCCCTGAGCTACTGAGTTTACAAACCCACCTGCTATGCTTATTCCATCCCACTTTGCCTCCATGATGTTGTCAATGGATGCCTGCTTCTGGTCTTCTCAGTCTTTTACTCAAACCCCCATAGATACAAGATGCTCTTTTGTCTGTCCTCCCCTTTTCCCACCTAGTCTTTTTCTTTCCTTGCTTAACAATGTCTTTTTTGAAGCATATGTCATGACCATTCACTTTGTTATCTGAGCGCTTGAGAGAGATACATTATGACCTCTTGGGCCTGGAGGATTGAAGGACAGGATGTCATGTCATAATGGGACTGTAAGAGTGATGTTGTAGCCATGATGGTCCTGGAATTATGTGAGAGGCAAGAATTTTTTGGGAGTGGTAAGAATGCAAGACAAGGTGACCTGATAAAGAATGCCTTGCTTTCAAAAGTTTCTCTAACTTTATTCCAATCATGCCATTAGTCCAGTAAAAGATATCACCTCCCCAAAAATACCTGCTTCCAGTCATGTGATAATGTAATTTAACTGCTTCATATATGGGCAAACACCACCCCCATAAAACCCAAAGCATCCTATCTTATGTGTTTCTCTGGCCACCATCACTACAATACTTAAGCACCTTGTAATTCATCCTCACAACACACATAGGAGGGAAGAAAGTGGCATTATCACCATTTTACAGATGGAGAGCTGGGGGGCTGAGAGGCTAGATGACTTGACCAGAGTTCACAGGAACTCTGAAGCAGAAGAGATACTTGAACCCAGGTCTCCCTGACCTAGTGACATCTATACAGGACCATTCTCCTTTCTTACATAGCCAATTTTTTTTTGAACAACAGACTAATTTTAATCACTAACTCCAAAATGAAAAGACCCACAGAGGAACAAAGTAAACACCAACTCACACAAACCTCCTCTTGCCAGCTTTTGAGTGAAGGGTTGAACCTTGCCTCAAGCTTAAAAAGTCAACCAACTCGGCCTTTATGCAATTGTATGTAGAAGTCTCTCCAGAGATTTGTGATAATTTGAAGATAACTTTTGAACAATTGTCCTTTATTGACAGGAGGCTTTGGGTAATTTCCAAAGCTCTTCCAAGCATATTTTCTTCATGCCAGCTTGTGCTCTCTGATACTATTGTGCAATTCCCACTGAGGTAACTGTGTGTTTCTCTGAGGACGGAATTGGGTTCTTTGTCTCAAGGTAATATCATTTCCATTGCTTTGATGGTGGTTACAAATAGAAGGGTACACATTTCAAACATAAAACATAAAGCCTAAAGAGTTAGGGACTTTGTCAAGGCCAGAGCTTACACCAAAATTACAGTATAATACATATTAAAAGTCAAGGTTTCTTTCTATACAAATTGTCAGGCAAAAATCACATTACCATGGGGATAGGCTCACCAAAACTAGATTAAAATTTGGCAAGATTATACTCTCCTGAAACTGAAACAGGAAAGGAACAACAGCCAGGGTCCTCGCAATATTCATCTTTATAATAGGACAAAATCGTGCCTGACAATCAGATGGATGGTCTCTCAGTAGTACTCCTTGCTATCAAGCCAGAGAAATATGAGGACTTCAAGAATCAGGGTCAGTTCAAGTCCACTGCAGGTAAATTGATAAGGACCAGTGAGTAAAAGACAACTTGGATGACTACTCTTTAGATGGCTCTCCACACAGCTACCTCTTCAGAACCGATGGAGTGGTGTTAGCCGCCTGTGCATGCAGCTCCCTCTGAAGCTTTTCAATGAGAAAGATGAGTGTGTAATGAATGGTCAGAGTTTCAATATTCCTCAGGGCTAGACTTGCAAGTGCACAGCACCACCAGGTGTGAGTAGAGTTTCAAAAGCACGCACGTCTCCATTTGTACACCTAATGAGGTTGAACAACTGGCATCCAGTAACTCCTGTTGGGACACTATTGGCCAAACACCAAACACTTAGAAGCCTAAGTGGGTGCTGTGCTTTCTTGAACATCTGGTCCTGCTCACAGGTACAGCCTTCTTTTGAAAATCTGGCTTGTGGGGCCTTGCAAGTGGAAAGAATGTAGTCAAGTGAAAGAGAGATGTTGGATCTGTGGGGATTACAGGTCTGCCCAAACATGTGCTCACACCAAAAATGTCAAGGTAACAGGTCATCCTAGCCTTACCTCACAGTTCAGCATGATTTAGTGCATTCCTCCTGATGTCTAGCTTGCCTTGTTCAAGTCTCCTTGCCTGCCTGTCTACCAGTCAAAGTATAAGTGCTAACATTTCTTGCTTTATTGCAGCTGAAGGGTAGTATCCCTCTGCCTGATATAAAGCAATCCTTTACTGTACTCTTCACAGATTGCAGCAATGCATGGAAATCATACAATGACTCATCTTCAACAAAGATGCTGAGTAAAGCCACATGCTCTGCCCCCAGGACCAACATGAACATGCTGCAGCCAGTTCACTGCCGGAGATCTACTTCTGTGGATACAAGCCCAGCTGCCTTTCTGAGTGAAGATGAAGTACATGAGCACTTAGAAGGCAAGAGAAAACATGAGGAGGAGGAAGACCCACTGTGTGATTTCCCAGCTGACCATTCACTTCATGGTGAGTCTTCCCAGGTCACACCTCTTTGATGGATAATTTAAATCCACATATTATCTCACAGGTCTCCCTAAGAGGTCAAGATCCAACAATAATAAGTACATGTCACAAGTTCTACCATACCTCAGTCCCTGATTGAGTCACAAGGACTGTATCTAGGACCAAAGCACAAGCTGCTCCCACTTCAGCTTAAGAACTAACTTGACTAGTAGTAAACCATGGCAAATGGCTATCTGTGGCATGAACACCCTTGACCAATGTGCCACTTAACATAAGTGTTATCTGTGGTAGCTGTGTGGTGAATGTTGACCTTCATAATAAACAAGTTACAATGCCTTGATAGCGCATTAGGTAAGATGCAAACAGAATTTTTAAAAAATGGAGTCAGTACCACACTAGCTAAAGAAGGAAGTATTGAGATGATAAGCAGCAGTCATGGGAAGGCCAGACTGGTTTTTGCTGCTCAATATAGATATTCCCAAAACAGTCACTGCAGAATTTTCAAAAGTTCAGTGCAGGTAACTGCACAATTTTTTAGGCCCCTGAAAATAACATGCTTCAAGGACATAAGATGACAACACTGGCTTTACTGAAAAATCTTCTACCCCTTTTTCTTAGCAAATATTCTGAAGGTTATAAGGTAAACACACTTCTCTAGGGATAACCCTGTGAGATGCATTTGAAGTAAAGAGCTGACTTCTGCTGCCTTTACATTAAATGGATGCCTTGCCAGAGAACGCAGTGCAGAGCAGAATCAGACTGCCAACAGTAATGATACTCCTACCAGCCGAAGCTCATCATCTTGTCATAAGGAATTGAAGGGAGAGCCCGCTGATGGAAGCAGCGGACCTAGCTCTCTCTCTCTGGCACTGATTAGACACTCACAGGAAGAACTTAGTGAAAGTATTTAAAATAAATACTTATTTACATTGGAAGGACTCCCAAGATGCAATGGAGAACTGAAAGCACGTTTCCCCCATGCTAATGGGGACCTTAAGCCCAGTGTTCCCGTTTTGCACTCTCTCTGCTTAAATCATACAACATTAAAGATTCACTGCTGTTAAACTGGGACTAAAATAGGCAAGAAACTGATTACTACTATTGGCACTGGATTTGTGACCAAGATACCTTATTCTGGGTGGACCCAAACCCTCAGACTAACCACAACTTCTTCTTGCCATAATAGGCAAATGTTATTGATACACAGAGTAAAAAGAGTAATGCAGGCAAGGCAAACAAAATACCGCTCCCCACCCTATTTTATCTACCAGTTCCAAGGTCCACAGAGGAAAGATACTCCTGGCCAGTATGTGAGCTTCACTCTGTGGTTCTTTCTTGAATGTCAGCAGTCTTGGAGGTCGAGGGCCAATGGGGTGGGTGAGATGGGCTGGTGGTGCACCCTCTGTCCATGGTGGCCTTCGATTCACCCAAGAGGGCCTTTTGCTGCTCTGAAATCCCTCTTTTGTATTCTTACTCCTCTGATGACCCTTCATTTATGGGTACCATAGATTTTTTTTCCCTGTAGTCATCATCATACTGTCCATTTTCTGATCTGTCAGCATATTCCTTTGTTTCCACAAACCCATCACATGCACACATCTTAATTTGGTCATTTACTGGTGTCTTAATTTGAGCATGCCTGACTTCCTAATTTAGTCTGTCCACCAAAACCGGAAATGCCAGGGTTTTGCAGCTAGGCACTGTGACCTGGCGCCAATGCAACAGGTTCCCTTATCATCTTTGTTATGGGTTTTCAGGGAACACCATGCAAATTTCACAGCCTGTTTGTCTATTGGCCTCAGGCAGGGGTGTCCACTTTGTCACAACCAGGCTTTTAGAAACCAGTTAACCCTTGCTGTTCCCCTGGATCATTGTTCTAGTACAATGTCTACTTTACCTACAAGCCAATTCCTAAAAGCAAACCTCTAAATATCATTTTCTAGCCTTCAACTACTAGTTCCAGAAATTATTTGGGTGGGCAGGCCCTTTCCATAACAGTTTTCATGATCAGCCATGATGAAAACTCCACTTTAAACTAATTCCTTCTTATCCTATTTAGTAACTGGAGCAAACCTGTAGTCTTAAGCTCTGCAGCTTTCTAGAGAACAGGTTCCTGCACCTACTAAAGGATTCTAGATAGACCATTGGAATGGTAGGGTATTTGGGATCCAGGTCATAGGGCCTGCCCTGCATCAATTTCAACCAATACTCTTGGACGTTTGGATTTAAAAACTCCGCCTACCAATGTACCCACCTCGAAGCCCCCAGGTGCCCTTCCACCACTTACCTTTATAATCTTTGAGCAAAGAGGGTAGGCAGCCTTCCCCCATTGTCCCCTATTCTCTGTCCCCTAGCAGCACCTAATACTCCCTAGCACATCATAGCTAAGGCATTCCTTGGAAACAGAAGCTACCACCCTAAGGATTCTGATTCTTCTCTGCAATCGAGCTCACAAATGAAACAGTACTTGCAGTGGGATCAGAAGGGTTTCCCTGGTCCTTCTGCCCTATGAAAGTGGGCAATGCATTTCCTTTCCCCTCAAGAGCCTTTAAATTGTGGGGACGTGAATCCTCACCTGGGAACTCACCCCATACCCAACACCTAGTTTGAAATAACTCCTTGGTAATCTGAGAAGGAAACTACCAGACTTCAGAAAGGAGCAGGCAGGTGGTGTGTAAGACAGCTAGAAAAAATAAGCCACTTCTATAGATAACTTTCAAGGGGAGGTATATTGGGAGAAAAAGAAGGCATTTGGGCTGCATGACCAGTAGATGAAAGGCTGATAACTGAAGCACCAACAAGACCCACCTCAAGTTTAGATTGGTCTTTGATTTCCAGACAAAACCATCACAATATGGCATCACGGGTTATTAAATCGTCCAGTAAGGTGGCCTCTGCCATTAAGGGGTTTGGAAATAGAGGGTCATTTATAATAAACAGAATTATAGCCCTATCGTGCTTGATTTATTTTGAGTAGTACCTCTTACACTTTGAACTTCAAGACTTGCTGGCATAAGCAAAAACAGCTTGAACATCCCTTTCAGAGAGCCCAGTTCTCCTGCTCAGGGGATGTCAAACCCTTCATTCCTTGATGTCATATCCTGGAGGCTGAGGGAAGAACTGGGGCAAGATATGCTAGTTATTCTATGTGATGTCTCCTTTCATTTTGCTATATTTTTGAGGTGGATACCACAGTTATAATATGAATGATATAGCCACTTTGCTTAACAGTTGGCTCTAGCTGCTGAGCTAATGGAATCTGCTCTCTAAGGTGGCCAGTAGGGGTGTGCAAAACAGGCCCTATTCGATCTGGATTTGGATTCGGCCTGAATCGGGGACAGCGATTCAATCTGTTGATTTGGATCACTGTCCCTGATTTGATTCTGCCAAATCCGAATCTGACGGTTCAATGCTGATTCAGTGAACCAGCGATTCGAACACAGGCACAGCTTTAAAAGTTTTTTCTACATACCTTGAGGTAGCAGCACGGCTCATGATTGCTGCGGTGCTGGGGTGGATGGAGTGTCCCACAGCAGCACGGGGGGCTCTCGAGCGTGCTCGGCAGCGAACCCGGAATTGGACCGGAAGTGCTTCTGGTCCACTTCTGAGTCTGCCGGGGAGTGTACAGGGGGGGCCCCCTGCGCCCCCCTGGCCCAGTGATCGGTCACAGGGGGACCCCAGGTGCCCACTCAGACCCAGGAGGCACCAGTCACCAAGCCGGGGGAGGCATGGGGGTGGCCCCCATCATGCTCCCTGGTGGACCCAAAAGTGCTTCTGGTCCACATCCGGGTCTGCTGCTGAGCACGCTGGGGAGACCCCCGTACTTCTGTAGGACAGTGCATCTGCCCCAGCACCACAGCGCTCAGAGCCCCTGCTACCTAGAGGTATGTAGAAAAAGCATTTAAAGCTGTATCTACATCCAAATCACTAAATCTGTCTGAATCTCTCCGAATCGATTTGGAGAGATTAAAGGGTGCCTTGATTCAATTTGGATTTGGAGATTTGGCCACCAAATCAGTCTGAATCTCTGCCAAATCAAAACAGGGACCAAAGCTTCACACCGCCCTAGTGGCTAGATAAGGAAAGGCTATGTTTTGGAGGTTTGTAGGCTGTGTGCAAGTTGCTGATGGGGATGGCTCTTTGTGAAATGATTCATCACTGGTATTTTAGTACAGGCAATGATCAGCAATTATCGTACCAGCTAGCACTGCCGTGGTTTTAGCACAAAACTTAAATGCAAGTGGGACAAATGCTTTACTGATGTAAACTGGTGTCACTCCATTGAATAAAGGCAGACTAAAAAAATCCAAACACAGTCCCTTCTAGACCAGATCTTGAGCACTGCTGTGGATGAACAGGTTTGGAAAAGTAATTGCTTGGCAGACAGCTATATGTATGTTTACGCACAGGCAATGGTCCTAATCCTCACCTGCAACCGAAGAACATTCAGTGCACCTGAATAACAGGAGAACAGCGCAAAGGTGATATTATTGCATCACTAATCCTGTAGGCATTCTCTGCTGAGCTAGACTTCTGGCACAGAGTAGAGCAGCCTGACGGCCTCGCTTGATTGCGCTCATTAGGCATTGTCCCAAAGGACTGGGGGTTAGTAGGGCAACTTGAACACATTCCTCTCCCCTAGCTAGGCCTCCTACATTAACCACAGAGAGGGGATGGCTTAGGAGTCGCTACCTCAGCTTGGTATCTGCCACAGAGTTCCCTTTGTGATGCAGGCCCTCTAGGAGTTGCTAAGACCGGTTTTAGGACAACTTTTTTCTTCTGAAATGGCACAATATTGACTCAAGATAGGAGGAAAAAAAGGCTCCAAACATATGATGTGATCAAGTTTGTATCACTGTACAGGTCATGTCTACATGTGCCCCTGACTGCACAGTTGGTACTGTGAAGTCCGAGCAGTGCACGAGTCATTTTCCACTCTACCGCACAGTAGCAACGAGCTACTGCACAGTAGCAGCAGCATCATGGTTAGTAACCGCCAACGT